CAGGAGCGTTCTTGATGAATAGTGCTCATCCTTAAAACTGAAGCAAATAAATTGAGGTGCCGTGTAGGGCCACATGAAAAGTCATGGTCAGCACTTTTATGGCAGACACCAAATATCCATTTACAAATTAGCCTCCTTTCGTATCGCAAAGCTATCATCTTAGCTTCCGGCATTATCAGTGGAATTCTTAACTGTTGCCAATGATGATTACTTCGGACTGTTAAGCTTTGGAACGTTAGCATCTCTCGTATCAATAATTCATTTTACCTAAGACCGTGATCCCTACATTCTGGATCATTCTAGGAAGGCAAGGTTACAGCAAGTGAAATCTGCGGGTCAGGCCAAAGTTTGAACGAAACTACCACGGATGGGAGCGTAATCCGTCAAGCTGTCCCGAGCACGGGTTGGAAGTAACTCGCTACTGTCTAGGGAGAGCTTTGGCGGATCTGTTAGACACTGGAGCTTCCTCTTGTCTCTCCTGGTTAGTCCTGGTTTCCATCATCGGTAACATCTGCGGTCTCACTGTGGCAGGTAGCTTCCTTCTCACATGTTTGGAGAGGTGTTAGCTGACATTGGGGACTTGGGGGAAGGGTAGGAGTCTAGGAGGAATAGCTTATAATTGCCAGAAGTGACACAGGATTGACAGGAGTAAACTTAGGAGACTTGGATTAACTTTAGACTCTAGCAGAGTCCTCTATAGGCCTGTGGGTTTCCAGTATTTGGCAGATGCTTCGGCCTAGGAAAAAAATGTTGTGTTTCCTCAGTTTCCCGACCAACCCTAGAAAAACCTGCTTCTCATGGTATAGTAAGTTAGTGTGTATCACTGTGATACTATATGTCATAGTCAAGTCTGCTAAGGCACTTATAAGTTTTATGTCTTCCTCTGTTTCCTGACCGACCCTAGAAAAACCTGCCAACCCTAAACTTTTCTAGCTGCATGCTCTGACACCTGAGTGATAAAACGTTGTACAATTGGGTTTCTAACATTGACATTGTAAGTGTTCTCATGCAACTTTTACTGTGTTAAACTGTATTGTACAAATTGGACCCCAATATAGATATCACTGATGTCTATAAAAAGAAAGAAAAAAAGTTAATCCCGATACAGGAAACACAAGGTTTTTCTTCTTAGGCCTTAGGCCACACCAATTTAATTTCTTGGTTAACGGATATTTCTAGAAAAATAATGGAGCGGGCGGGCGAAAAAAACAAACAAACAAAAAAAACAGGCCTAGGCATCCTATTATGGCCCAAAATGGTAGGATAGGAGCCATGAAGTCAACACACCAGGCTGGTTCAAAATTTAAACAATGAATTTTGAACTTTTAATGATACCATTGCATTGAAAGATGAAACAACTGTAACAACTAGGATGATAAGGATTGTTTTTAACTGTTCAGAGCAAAATATGAGCATTTTGCAGTTGATTCTGAATTTTTATTTTTATTTGCAAATCAGAAAAAAATGAAACGGGCGAATCTGTTAACCAAGAAATTAAATTGTTGTGGCCTTATCAATATCTTCTGACCCCCGACACATCCTCGCTCTACTTTCATTTGCAGTTGAGGTCATTCAACTTATAAACGTAATGGTCTTCCCTCAAGCCTGCTGTCCTTATGGAGTACCAACATGGTGATTGGCACAGTCGGGATACCATAGCTCATGTGTACAGTGCAACGGCCATATTACAATGGACCTGCTAGGAAAAGCAGACTAATTTCTAGTCATATTTCCCAATCCACCATTCAGCAAAGTAAACTATATAGCTATTTGTCTATGCCACCAACGCCGAGTGTCCCCATTCGTCAGTTCATAATTATGGAAATCTGATTCTGTTCGCGGCATCGGATGACCAAGGCTTTGCTCGTGTAATCAATCCTTCGGGGGTAGCGGCTCTTATATACAAGGCCGGCCTGTAACTGTAACCAGGGACAATTTCATGAGCAAATGATTAGCATAATTGAAGCAAGCAAACTGACATGCTGCCAATAGCTGCAGCACCTGATCCCTCCGCCCTCGGGCTTGTTACACACCACCAATCAGCTGACACCACACATGAGACAAGTCGAGCAGTGAGTGGTCGGTATTCTAAATCAGTCTGCTGGCTAGCTAGCTTTGGAGAGGGAACAGCTTTGATAGCAGGTATGCAATAAGCAGATATTGAGATTTTTCTTTTACACAACCTGTAGTGATTTCTCTTACCTTGCTTACGTTTCAGTGTCTTATCAGACACCTTCCTTAAGAGCTTCTGACTGGAGTTCTGCTTCTCACCGCTCTATGTTGAGCCAATGAGGAAGGTGGCTGATAGATACCAAAATGTAAGCAAGGTAAGAGACTTTACTGGTTGACTGTGTAAAAGAAAATCCGATGTTCTACCAACCTGATGAGAGTATTTTTGGGGTATGCAATAATAGAGTTGTTTGCTAACCAGTCTTTCTGATATGTTCAGAGTTTAAAGCTTTATGTAGTATGTACTAGTTCTTTGCTGTTATTCATGGCACTTATTTTAAAATCTCTTACTAAAAGTATAATTTACAGTATCAAACTGCTGTTGCAGGTCTTGACACTCTTCAGCTGCAGTCATCTGTCAAACAACATGTATCTTGTCTGTTATGAAAGATTTCAATGAGATGGTCAGTAGAGGTCCTTTTCAGGATCATAGCATGCATTAAGGCCACACCAATTTAATTTGTTGTTTCCTGGATTCGCCTCTCCATTTTTTTTCTGAAAGATTCTGGTTCTGAATCAAAATGCTCATATTTTGCCCCCAACAGTCGAGGAAAGACCTTTTCTTCCTAGTACCTACAGTTTTTCCATCTATCAGTGCACGGGTTTGATTAAAAGCTCAAAATTTATTGTTGAAATATCAACCCAGCCTTTTGTGTTGACTTCATGCATATGGCTCTTATCGTAGCATTTTGGGCCATAATAGGATGCCTAGACCAGTCCTGTTTTATTTCTTTTTCGCCCTGTCGCTTCATTTTTTTTTAATCCGAGAACCAACAAATTAAATTGGTGTGGCCTAAAGGTCCTGTCTATAATGCCTTCACTGTATTCATCTACTGTCGCAGTTAAGTTGTCTTGTCTTTACTAAGCTTGTCTTTTGGCTAGCACTACTACAAGGTTATAACAATCAAATAAATCATAACCCAATAACTACAAGCTTAGGAAAGTCTTAAAATATGATGATGGTCATCAGAGTCAAAATAGAATAATTACTGTGATTGACTTAGAATTCCAAACAGACCATAATAGTCACCGTGGAAACTAAAATGCATGCAGTGTAGGGTGACTATTTGCCTTCCAGTGAAAAATTTAAGGTAGTGTAGATTCAGGTACAGCAAGGTAGGTCCAGACCTGTAACTGTAACCAAGTTTGGCCTTTAATTTGTAACGGTTACAAATGTAGCCAACCGTCTTTTCTTAGCGATAAATCATCAATTTAAATGGCTTTGTGCATCATAATCTTCATACTCTTGAAGGAACTACTTGAGAGAGAATTTATCTATTTTGAGTCTAAAACATGCTGTCAACCTGAGTATTTTATCTATTTTGCAGGTACAGATAAGGTACAATAATTATTACAACTTATGTCTGGATTCAGACCTGTATCTAAACAATTTTACAGGTATGGGTACAGTTCACAATACGGTACAGTGTACCAGTACCCAGCCATATTTTGAAGCTGCAGTGTTCTGGATAGCATCTGTCTTTTCGTCATTTCAAGGAATTTTGCCACTCACGAGGGAAAAAAATCTGTGTGTATGAGCTAAACTTAGTCTACCAGCAAAATTTACCCCACAAAATGCAGCAAATAGCGTTTCGGACGGTCAAGATTTCAAAGTTTTCCCATTGGGCATGCCTTAGTATGTAGCCCCCTTGCTCAACATGATAACCTCATACAAAAATTTGAGATCATGACGGACAAAAATGTCAGGCTGGCGTCAGAAGACTGTTTTGAAGGTTGTTAACTCTCCTGACCTAACTGTTTCCCCTGTACCCTGTGTTTGTGCAGAAGTGTGCAGGTGGGGAATGACATGAAGCGTAAGGCTGTGATGCGCCGGCTGCTGCTGCTGACCACCTTCATGCTGGTGACTCTGGTGCTGATCCTCCAGCCACACCTCCAGCAACACGGGCTGCTCTACAAGACTGCCTCTGTCACGTCCAGGTGAGAAACAGCACTCAACTAGAAAGGCCGACATTTGCTTGGGAGCAAATACAGCATATTTCAGTCCATCTCCCTGGCACGCAAAAGTGGACTATTCCAAACTTACCCCAGGGTATGGACTGAAATATAAAAATAACTACCTAGTATATACAGGTTAGACCACACCATCTTAATTTGTTGATTCTTGGATTCGCCTCTTCATTTTTTTCTGATTTGCCAAAAAAATAACAAATTCTGGTTCTGAATCAACTAAAAAATGCTCATATTTTGTGCCCAACATTTGAGGGAATTAGTCATTTTCTTCCTAATTGTTACAGTTTTTCCATCTAACAATGCAGTGGGTTTGATTAAAAGTTCAAAATTCATTGTTTAGATATTGACCCAGCCTTTTGTGTTGACTCCATGGATCCTATTGTAGCATTTGGGGCCATAATAGGATGCCTAGATCTGTTTTCATTTTCTTTTTTTTTCCCTTTCGGTTCATATTTTTTCTGAAAAAATCCGAAGAACCAACACATTAAATTGATGTGGCCTTACCTGCACCAAATTATATGTATGTGACAGTAAATTTCTCTAAAACCTGAAAGTTAAAAAAAAAGACATTTTAAA